TGCTTGTGTTGCCATCGGTTGCGCCAGACCGCCGACCGGTGGCGCTGATCGCGTGCTGCAAGCGGCCCGAAATTCGCATCACTGATCTAGACACTCACTTCCTCAATGGCGGACACATAGACAACACCTAGACACTTAGTTCCTCGACAGCGAACATCTAGACGCTCACTTCCTCAACATCGAACACCTAGACTTACTATGACTTTTGAAATATGCTATTATATGTAACAGCTATATTATTAATATTGTTGAATAGGAAATAATAAGAAATTAATTTTCGATATTACAAATCTTACTGATTTCATTTATCCGCGCAATGCGTCGAATTAATAATTATTTATCGACCTCTAATATTGATAAATTTATTATTGATTAATTATTATTCTGTGAATTACCCATTTCATTTCTCTGTCGATATACTAATGAAACCATGGTAAATCGGTCAATGAGAGTCGCAATAAACAAGTGCCATCTACTGTCAAAAATATGAAAAAAAGATGACTTTTTGAAACGATGACATCTTACATAAAAATTTGACATTTCGGATTTCGCATGATTTTGCATCATTATATCTTCGTTCGTAGGACACATAGAGGTAAAATAAACACTTGTTAATAATTCAGACCCAAACGTCGATTGAGCTCATATTCAGAAATCGATCAGTCCAGTCTTCATTAAAAAACCGATAATCTCGGATATTCGCAACTCACTGATTCGCGTAAAGACACGGGGCGGTCTCGCGCTACGCGTCCATTTGGCGCGAGACACTACCGTGTCTCTTGATAATATACTTTTGCACTGTAATCCTGTGTAGGCTTCCACGCTCCTTTAACGATTAATTTTGACTTTGTTTGGAAGCTGTTAACTTGTAGATTATGTTTAATGTCTTCTTCTTAATTTTTATATAGATATTTTGGTAGATATTTTTATATAATCTTTAAAATTAGCAATCCCGAAACATTTCTTTACACTTACCATTATCTCTAGCACTTTGTAAATATTTTATACTTCACCTTCTGTTCTAATCCTTGTACTGCTGTACTGTATCTATCCCTTTCTTTTTCTACAACTTCCATTTGTTTCTTCATGTCGTCGATGGTTTGTGTCAGTGTGTCCATTTCATGTTCCATTTTTTTTTTGCCATGTCCGCATAATAATAGTTCGTGATCTAATCGCTTGATTCTCTCATACGCGGTCTCTTTGATAAGGACAATGTTATTTTTCTCTCGTAACAAATTTTCAATACGTTGCTTGTCCTCGAGTTGTTCCTTGCGACAGATTTGAGCATCATGTTCAACATTCTTGACATTAATCAGAGTTTGCTTCAATTCACGCTTCAGTTTAGATTGTTCAGATTCCGCTTTCAGCAATCGTTTGTCTATCAAATCCTTCTCGTGTTTGTATTTGGCGCTATCCTCTTTTGTTCTAAAATATTTATTATTTACTGTGAAATCGGACTTGTGATAATGATATAATAAAATGTATAATACGAGTACAATCTGTTTGACAAGACGTCCGGTCCCGAAATTCAACAACGTGAGACTATGGGAATCAGGCGCGATAACTCGTGCATAAAATAATTATCAAAAATAATTATTTTTAAAAACAATCGGTCCAATCGGTTGGAAGGAATATTTCCTAGATGGAAACACGTCCATCATCTAGCAGTAGCAATTCACAAAACATTTACAAAATTAAAAAGAAACAGATCCGGCACAGAATAAATAATATAGTAAATTGTAGAAACATATACATGAAACCGCATTAAGATTGGGCATAGTGATCCTGATAACTCGAATCTGAAAACAGAAGAATAACATTCTTCTGTCCAAACTCGAATCGTCAGGATCTATCTATAAAAATTTTACAAAATCTTGCTCAAAAACGCATTATAGTCGATCATAAAGAGAGGAATCTTTTGCAAAAAATAATGTCAAATATGAAAACTGTTTAGCATCCAATATAGTGACCACAATTTTCACTGTAAAAGTTATCAAGCACAAACAGTCAAAAGCTTTGAATACAATAAGTGAGAATATTTAAACAATAAGAATCTTATCTTAGACCGCATATGTGAGAATATAAGTAATATTAGAATTTAAATGCCTATAATGGTCGAAAAGTTGGATCTATAATGCTTAAATAATTCAATGTGAATTATATATGTATAATATAGTATATATATAATTCACATTAATATATATACAGGGTGTTTCCAAATTAAATGGCAAAACTTCGGGAGCGTGTAGAGGAGTAAAAAACTAAGAAAAAAAGTCCTATAGACATATGCTCCTTTTTGCTTTGTTTCGCAGGAAATCACGAAAAAAGAAAAAAATATATTTAATTTATTATTTTAATTATTTTATTTATAAACTTTTTAATGAAGATTTTGTTCGAAATGTGCACCTCTTGCAGCAATACAAGCATTGCATCTGTCAAACACGGCTCTTGTAGCAGCCAGGCACTGTTCTTGCGATATTCTGTTCGCTGCAGCTACGATACGATTTCTCAAATGTTGCTCTGATTGAATAGGCGAAGAATAAACTTCTTGCTTCAGAGTACCCCATGCATAGAAATCTAATGGCGTTAAGTCGGGCGAACGAGTTGCCCAATGTACTGCTCCTCCACGTCCAATCCATCGTTGTGGGAATTTTCTATCTAACCAGGTTCTAGCGACTCTGCTGTAATGAGCAGGGCATCCATCTAATTGAAACCACATTTCAGTACGTTGTTGTAATGGGATGTTTTCTAAATAGTCAGAAAATTCATTCTCCAAGAAATTTAGAAAACGGTCCCCATTTAATCTTGCAGGTAAAAAAAACGGTCCCACTAAAACGTCGTTCCAAATTCCAAGCCAGACATTAACAGAAAACTCTTGCTGAAATTTGTATTCTCTAACAGACCTGGGATTTTGATGAGCCCATAATTCCTTTGATTAATTATTCCACCTCTGGTAAATGTTGCCTCATCTGACCACATTATTTTAGATGGAAATAAAATATCATTGTGGCATGTCTGAAGGTACCAGTTACAAAAGTTCAATCTGTTCCAATGATCTTGAGGTAATAAATTTTGCACTTTTTGAATGTGGTAGGGATAGCGATTATCTCCTTTTACAGTTCGCCAAATTGTTTGTGGTGACACTCCCAATACAGCCGACGCATTCCGAACGCTGGTCTCAGGATGATTGTCAAAATGTTGTAAAATACGATTCCCTGCCTGCAAATCTCTTCGTAACGCTGCTTGAAATCGGTTGTTTTCTTGTCGAATTGAAAATGTTCCAGTCTCTCGCAATCTATTAAATGTCAACATAAACACTCTTCGGTTTGGCACTCTTCTGTTTGGAAATCGTCGTGCATATTCTCGCACCGCCTTTAAAGCATTACCGTTGCAGAAACCGTATACAAAAACCATATCAGCATATTCACTATTAGAATACGTACGCGGCATATTGCAAAAGACAAAATTCATCTACTGTTAAAGGCTTTCAAAGAGCGACTGACAAATTCATAACAGAAAGTGGAAAATGTAATCAAATATGTCGGTGCTAGATATGGCAAGAAATGTAAACATTTTTTTTCGATTTCTCTGAAACGGAGCAAAAACGAGCATATGTCTATAGGACTTTTTTTCTTAGTTTTTTACTCCTCTACACGCTCCCGAAGTTTTGCGATTTAATTTGGAAACACCCTGTATATTACGTATATATATAATTCAATCAAGATTACTAAATGAACGTACATGATCATATAAGAATCTTACATAATTTGTACATGAATCTCACCAGTAATCTTTAATGACCTTAGGAATCTGGAACGAATCGTACACGACGATTTATTGTATATCGCAAAGATCCTGCTTTATAAGAAATTTTTAAAAAATAGTTTCTTTACAGGATCACATCTAAGAATATGGTATTAATTATATATAATTCTATAGTATTTCATGAAAAGACCATTTATCAGTCTTAAGAGACATAGTTACGAAATAATTTATTTTCCAAGTTGATACAAGAATCCGGCATGAATCGTACACGACGATTTATACAGTAATGAAAAGAGAGAGAGATCTTGTCTTAAACTTGTACGAAACTCTTAAAAAATAATTTCTTTACAGGATCATCCAAGAATATGGTATTAATTATGTATGATTCCTAAGTGTTACATGAAAGATCATGTATAAAAGTCTTAAAAAACATATAGTTACGAAATAATTTCTTTCAAATTGGTGCAGGAATCTGGCATGAATCACGATGATTTATATCGTAATGAAAAGATTTTAATTGCTTAATTTAGCCCAATAAGATACTCTTAAGAAATAATTTCTTTACATGATCGCTCTGAAGTAATAAAGGTATCGATCATCCTAGTAAACGAAATGAAATTATTGAATGAACAGAATCTCTCTGGATTGAATATACGAAATGAAAAAGAATTAAGAAAAATTAAGAAATTTGTTAGAATACTGAATATGACTGAATAAAAGGTCTAAACGTATATTATCACTTAATGAATTGATAAATTATAAATTATATTTCGCTATAATAACTGGCATAGGCTTTTTATGCTCCTTTCCCAAATTAAGTTTGATTTAGTCGAAAAGCCGTCATTTAATTTGTGTAAAAAGAATTAATTTTTAGCCAAAATGAATTCTTTTAAATCCCATTCAACGATCCTTGCTTGTCCCATTCCATTTTATTTACTAGGATACGTTTAATAAATTACACAAAATTTCAATAGTATTCTTGTAATATTTTCATAATGACACTCGAGATATAGTCTTGCAAGATTCATGTTACATGCGCGCAAAATTCACGTAACCTGCGCGCAAGATTCATGTAACATGCGTGTAAAAGTCATGTAACATGCTTATAAGACTCATATAACATGGGTGTAAGATTCATGCAAGATTCTTGATTTACTTACAGGTATCGTTTGCGATATATTCTTATACGATCTTGTATGTTTCTGTCCGAAATTCGTATGTGAAAATTTTCTTGGAAGATCTCACAAGAATTTTTCTTCTAAAAATTTGCAATAGGGTAGTGATTTATTATGTTGCATTTGACTTTCCACGCGAAGCGAGATCTATCTTACCTTTCCCCTACCTAGGGGCGTTTGACTTTCCACGCAAAGTGAGATCTACCCCACCTACCTAGACAGTGGATCTCGCTTTTATAACGTAAACAGGGGAGGGTATTTATTGGAGGGTAGAGTTCTTAATTTGTATGTATCAGAAATAAGACGTTATTTTTTTAATTTTTTTTTGTTAATAACTTTTTAACAACAACCAATAGTTAAATCTTTTTCAAGGTCATTCAGGTCATGACCTTGATAACATATACCAAAATCAAGGTCATTGGGAGAAGCTTCCCTCATTTCATTTTTACCGTAAATAGTTTTAAAAAATGGGTAGGTTACACATTTTTCGACCTCTCCCAGTCGATTATCATTGCTTAAATCATAACAAAGATTTTTATTAAAATTGTAGCCTAAAAATGTCATATTCGAAAAAGGTCCTGTTCTGCATAATTATCAAGTTACTAATTCTTCTATAACATGTAACTTGTTTCTATTACCTGTTAAGCTCGTACTTGATGTTCCTTATCTTCTTCCCTTTATCGGAGAGTTCTTTTTCCAGTTTTTCTATTTCGACGATTGCATTGTCGAAATCTGTTTGTAGATTCATTTTCTTTAGCATCAGCTTGCTCATTTTCTTTCGCAGTTTCTCATCCGTTATTTTTTGGTCTTTTATCAAATTCTCCAATCTTGTTACGTTATTCGTACTTGTCTCAACAGATACGTTCGCAACCTACATTTTTTAATTATTTTTTAATAATTACGTTAATTGGTATATAAACATTCATGTATATACAGGGTACAGTTCGTGACCGAAATTTTAATAACATACATATTCCTGACTTAAAAAGAAGAAAAAAATCCTTTGTCTTGTGCGGAAGAGTGGGGGAACTGTGCGCAGTGGGTAATTGTGCGCATCCTGATTTGGAAACTTTTTAACATTGTGTTAGTAATAGTATATTCTTTTCTCGTTTTTTTTTTAATTTGTTGAGCCTTATTACTATCATATTTTAATCATATTATACGCGGGCGAAAAAATGCGTTATATTATACTTATGAATATTCTCCGTTTACTTTTTCCTCTATTAGAAACCAATTTGGTATCTACACTTGCCACTTTCTTAAAAAATTATATAATTTAGTCAAACTAAGCGTAAATATCAGGGTCCGTATTAAATTTCTTAATTCTTGTCTCAAATTGGACTTAGTCCCTCCACATTTATACAATCTCACTAAACGTAAAAATTTCTCATTTTATAATAACTCCTCGTAAATTGAAAAGATTCAATTAAATCATGTAAAAACAATTATGCGATTAGAGTTAAAAGACGCTTATCGCCATTTACATTTGACTAGAAATAATATTTTTAATTTTTCCAACACAATCTCTGATATTTTACCAACTTATACTGAAAATGAGTTTTTTAAATATTTGGATCATATCAATAATTCTTACTTTTCTGAATCGAATACACAAAAAATCGAATGATTACAAACAAATAAAGCTAGATCTATCAAATCAGGAATTAGGTCTATCTCAAACGTGTGTTCTGTTCCAAATGATCCACATAACTCTTCAAACAACAAGAATTTACTCACGTTTACGAATGACTCACATAATAACTCTGTTACAGAAAGAATTTACATTCATCCGGAAAAATTCAATGAGGCGTCTCCTCTTAATACTTTACACGATAAATGGTTCGTGAATTTGGGCAGCAGTGACATTCCGTTAAAGGTTCAACTTCTACTACAACTAGGAAAAATTCGGATTTCCTATTAAAGAAAAAACTTTAGTAGAACTTATTAAACATATAGAAAATAATTGGTCATCTGAAACATAATCAATTTTGTCAGAAATAAGTCTATACCAATACTCTATAGATTTCATAATAATTTTCCTTCTCTTAACTCTATTGAAAAACAGCAGCAAAGAGAAAGAAAGGAAGAGGAAAAGAATCGTGTTCATACATAAAAGGAAAAGATAAAAAATACTACTTACTCAACAATTAAATGCAGTATCAGCAACATTAATAGTAATTTACACTGTTATATTAAATTGCTCTATCAACAAAATATTTAACGATTTTCAAATCAGGATGAAAACACAAAAAATTTTTTAAATATATATTATTGAAAGTTAGGGAAAATCAGAAAATTTTGGAATGAAAAATTTGTGGCAACCCTGTTTTACGAATATTTACCTCTAATTCGCTTTTCTTTATAATGATTTCTTCCTGAAGTCGTCGCACCTCCATTTCCAATCTCTCTCGGACACCTTTTTCTCGCGAGATTTCATTCAGTTGCATGCCAATAATTTCCTGCATCTCTGTCATTCGTTGATTGACCTCGTTACTTTTTTGCTCAAGCTCCTCCGCGTAACAGGATATATTTTTCAAGCGTTGCCGCATAGTCTCCATCTCGCCAATGAGTATCTCCCTTTCTTTCAATAGATTCTCCTTTTTCTTGCTAATGGTGATGCTATAATTATGGTGAAACTTTAAATGGGAAAATGCATTTTGGAGTGATCGAAACGTCAATCAGAAAACAATTTTTTAGAAGTACACCATTGCCTATACACTCTAAACTATATATACGAAAATTTTTCTATATATTGTAATGTAAAGAAATGGTAAAACATACGACAAAATTACCTTTTTTATGAAACGGTAAAAAAGGGTCAGATGTACGCGTTTGTATGTATGTTCTTGAAGAAAAAAATTACTTTCTGTTTCAAATCTATTCCAAATTTATTTTCCGAACTATCAAAATAATAATTTTTTTCAAAAAATATGTGAAATCTCTTTTATTAATTTTATATAGAAATAACAAATATTTAAAAAAAGGGGGGAAAAGTGTCGGCGGAGAATCGAACCAGCGACCCAACGGTTAGGTGTGAGCGCTACCTGTTGCGCCACCGGACTCATTGAAACATGCTCACCGTCCAATGTACATATACAGCTCGGAATTTTTCGACAAAGTCAATTTTCTCGACAATGGCTGAGAAGTGCATCTTACTGCTTGGCCAAAGTAATGTCTGGGCGATGCACTTCACGTACCGTAAGTTTCAGAATTTTCTAAATTCCAAATGTCTAACCGTCTCCTTGTTAGTCATGCAAGAGTTAGAGAATCGGTTGTTGAGTAGTGTAAATTTCAAGATACAATTTTACTATAGATACGTAAATGACATCTTTTATGCATCCCCTCAACTGAAATTAACAATATACTGGATATTTTCAATACATATCACACAAGACTACAGTTCACTTTGGAAGTAAGGGGAGAAAAAATAAATTTTTAGATACTACTATTATAATAGATGAAGGCCGGATTAAATTTGATTGGTATCAGAAACCAACTTTTTCAGGAAGATTCCTAAATTTCTACTCTCAACATCCGATATCTTAAAAAAAAGGGAACAATTTTAGGTTTAGCAGACTATTTTTCCTCTCGCATATGGAATTCCATGAGAAAAATATCAATTTCATCGTTAATATATTAACAGAAAATGACTATCCCATGGAATTGATTATGAAAACGATGAAAAATAGAATAAAATATTTTATCAAAAGATACCAATCTAAAAATAAAAATAAATTAAAAACCTGACAATGTGACACCAAAAAGAAATGATTCAGCATCTCATACGTACATGGCATTTCCGAAAAACTCATGAACATTATTAATAGTGGCGTACACAGAATTTCATTTTTTAGCTTCATTATGAATTATTTAAAGCATTAAAAATCTAGCTTCGATCGTTATAAGCTTATATATTCTTACTTATTGTGTATTTATTTTTTAGTTTCAACAAATTAAGTAGGTTCATCAGAGTACACAAAGATTCGTTGCCCAATTTATTAAAAAGAAATATTGTATATAAGATCAACTGTAAGGACTGTGATGCATCCTATGTGGGACAAACGGAAAGAAAACTAATAACTAGAGTATCTGAACATCAAAATCACATACGTAGAAATTTCCCCACTCACTCAATTATCACTGAACATAATATTGCCTAATGCAATCGTACTTTCTCATGAATGAAGTAAGGGAAGTATGAAATAAACACAATGTGTTTGTTTATAGATGAACAGAAAACTTTCATTAAATGTACTCTGTACATTGAAAAAGAAACTTAGAATACACTTTTTCTTATACAATATCATTGGACTCGGAACAATTTACGAGATACACAAAATCTGAAAACGTGCGCTTTATATCTGAAAAAGGAACTGTGTGCGACACTAACGCAACAGAACTAAACTTTACATTCAATGAGCGTCATCTAAGCTTATCAGAGAGAGAGAGAGAGAGAGAGAGAGAGAGAGAGAGAGAGAGAGAGAGAGAGAGAGAGAGAGAGAGAGAGAGAGAGAG